GGGGGGAGGGGGCGGGTACAGCTGGCTCTGCCTCTAGATAGGCAGAGCCAGCTGTCACTCACGCAGCTGGGCGGATCTCGACATCGATGTCGGGATCCGCTCCGGCTGCGGCGTCTCAGTATATAGCTGTAGCTCGCGGTATACTGAGCTTAGGGTAACGGGAGGACGCTAGTTTGTGTCCTTCCGTTACCCTAAGGAGAACTATTGGGAAAAGCCCTGACCCCATAGTTCTCCTTTAATTGTTTTATTTATTTAGTATTCTGAGCTAATTATTAGCTCTACCATTTACACTTCAGAGTTATTTCCGTGTCTCTGCAGGAAACGGACAATAAAACGGGAGCGACCTTTGTGTCCAGGACCATCGTATCGTCACTGCAAAGTGGGGGCAAGAGAGAGCATGTGAGTCATTGTTACACGCGTACCAAGCATTATGTTTTGTATTGATGGTGATGCCCAGCTGAAAGTTTTATGTTTTATTTAGAATGTAACTCCATGCTGACCATCTGTCAGGTGTTATAACCGTGTCCCCACAAAGTTTCTGCATTTCCTGTCCCCAGAAACAGGACATAAGTGGAGATCTCCCTAAAATTAGGGAAATTCCACCTCTGACAGTTGACCCTGGAAAAGGTGTCAAAGATTTCCTGTGCCAGTGATGGCTGTAAGATTTTGGATTCACCATCTACCACCATTTCCCCACCAAAGACCAAAGTCCAAAGGACAAATAAAGAGGTTAGATCTCCCCAACGGGGGCATGGACAACAATAGGAACTTCAGAAGGCCAATGAAAGATAGTGCTGGGTCTCAGTGGGATAGATTGTCCGATAAGACGTTCCAGAGATAAATAAGGTAGATAGAGATGAATCCAACTCTAGGTGATCTTGATGTGTTTGGAATCTGGGATGTGACCATATACTGTAGAAAAGACTTTCCACAAGATTATGGGGGTTTTCTTGGAAGTTGTGTCCATTTGTGAGGCAAAGTATTGATGTTTGTTGAGAAGACCTGGTTCACAATGGACTTTCTAATTCATCCTGAAGGTCTTCAGTAGGGTTGAGGTCAGGGTTTTGTGCAGGACATTTGAGTTCCTCCACATCAAACTGATGAAACCATGTTGGATGAGAAGACCTGACTCACAGGAGTGAGAGCAATAATCCTAGGGCCAGTATTTTGGGGTATTTCTAAATTGATGACCTGTGTGGGCTTTTAAAGTGTCTTTTATTGACTTTTTGGGGTACTGCAGTTTTTCGCCGTTTCACGGTCGCACGCAATCTGTAAACTGGGCATGTTGGGTATCGTTTTACTCGTTGTAACCTCATCTTTTATATTTCATTTAAAAAATGGGTAATTTGTTGTGTTTTGGGGCATTTAATTAAATTTGTCACTAAATTTTGGGGTTTAATAAGGAGTTGCGCTAATATTGCGCAACATAAAAATTTTCAACTACCACCATTTTATTCTATAGGGTCTTGGCATTCAGAAAATATATAATGTTGGGGGGTTTTACGTCATTTTCAGGCCTAAAATGTGGAATATAACATGGGTGCAAAAA